AACAAGCTGGAACAGGGACACAAGCACTGTGGCTCCAGTGTAATGGCTCCAGTCTAATGGAGGCATTTTTGCAGACTATTTTCCCTTGTGGAATTTTATTTCTTTCATACCTTTTGTTCCATTACAGTCCTTGAAGGGGAAGTTCTTAGAGGGTGTAAGAGTGTTGTAGTGTCAGAAAACCTCACAGTGTGACCATGCTCTGTGCTGCCCACCCTGGCAACGTTCCCAGTCCACAACCATGGATGAGAATACGTGGAAGCTGTAGTGAGTGTGCAGCGTTCCAAGCTGGGAGAACAGCCCAGCAACTGCAGAAGGCCTTTGCTCTGAGGCTCACTCGGTTGCTGCCCACCCTCCCCTTTTCTTCCCCAGAACGAAAAGCTCAGTCAAGAGTGCATGAACACAAAGCAGATGAGGAGATCGACACTCCCCAAGGCTCTGTTTTTCACTCCAGCAGTGACACACGCAGCAAGTTCCAGTACCTGGCTCCAGGATCTGCTGTGCCACACGACCAACGCAGAGGGTCAGGGAGAAGGTGAACCTGAGGTTTGGCTGCCTGATTCCATCCTGCACAGCATCCAAGAGATACAGCAACTGCAAGAGCCCAGGGAGAGAAGCCTGAAGCACAGCCCAAATGAACACAACAGGAGCACCAAGGCACCAATCAGCTTCCTCATGGGCCATACAGGTAAGAGTCCTAATTCAGCAAACCTGAGGGTTTGGTGATGTCAGGATCAAAACACCCAGAAACCTGTGAAAAAGAAACCAAACTAAAGCCAGCTAAAAGTGGTCCCCTGACGATGACTCGTAAAACAACTTGTTCACAAGGAGGCAGGGATTGATTCAATACTCACCAGCCCACCCAGCCAAGGTCAGAGCTCTCTGCCCACCGAGGACACGGCAACCATCAGGGACCTTTCTCCCACTCTCCAGCACAGACCTGTGGAGCCACAGAGAAGTTTACAGAGCAAAAATAGCCAGAAGCTGCTCTCTGCTTCCATACACTCTCTGATCGATCATTCCAAAGGAAAGCCGCCATGGATCAGAAGCAATCACCTCTCATTTTTCCTCTGGAATCATCACTGCCTTGCCCTTCTTTGCAAGTGTTTCATTCCGTGCCCACCCATCCCCAGAGCACATTTAATCCATCTTTTCTTCCCAGCTGCAGCTCTCCAGCACAAATGCCACTTCTCACACACACAAAGCAAAGAGTCATCTGCTACAGGTTTTGGTAAGTAAAAACCTTAGTGCATCTGACTACATGATTAAAACACATAGATGCATGGGTGGTCTTGGATGGAAAGCTTTTCAGGAGAGAAAAGAGCTGTTTCAATAGCACACTTCTATACACCTTCAGAAAAACCAGAATTAACAGCAACTCCTAAGACGCCTGCTGAGGAACCCAGCCCTCCTGAGGACACCCAATGCAGCAGACATGGGAAAAGGATGGAAAAAGCCAAGCCTGGAGTGAAAAAAAAGAGAACATAAATACGGCAGCCTGTAGAAAGCCTTCACACAGCAATAGTGGGAACCAGTCCCATTTACTCCATCCTTGCTTTTTGTGATGACATAAGTATGAAATAAAAACACATAAAACACAAGGCAGAGCTAGGATGTACCAGGTGTTCCCATTGGCAGCGTGGATGACAAATGTTTCTTCATGCACTAACGGCCAGCCCAATTTCAACCCATCCTTAACCCAAGCCTTCCTCGGCTCCCGTTTCCCAGCGCTCGGCTCAGGGCTTTGGACCTCTCGCTCTTTCCTCTCGCAGCAGCACGGCACCAGAACACAGCGAGGCAAACCCTGCCGGAGCCGCCCATCCTGCGTACCTGTCAGCTCCCGGCCGTGTGCAGCCTTGGCCCTGCGGGCAGGGAGACGGCTCGGGCACCTCCAGCGGCTGTTCTGCCCCGATGCTTTTGTGTTTTCCTCCATTTCCCTGGACCAGAAGGGGCCGTGGGGGGCCGTTGTGTGAGAGTGGGGAGGGCAGAGAGCGGAGGGAGTGCGGGGAGGCGGCGGGACGGGGACGACCCACCCCGCCCTCTCGGCGCGATTTCCCGCCGCCTTTCCGGGGACGAGGACACGGGCGGCGCGCTCTGCGGCGCCGGGGCCAGGGGCGGGCAGCGGAGCGCGGGGAGGCGGAGGGACGGGACGGGCAGCTCGCCTGACCTTCCAAAGATGGCAGCAGAAAGGGCGGGGAAAGCCAGGAGCCCGCTCCGCCTACTGCACCGCCTGCACGCCACCCCGGCACCGCCCCGACGGGAATCTGCGGCGCGCCGTCGTTTCCACCGGCTGCAGAGGGGCGCGCGCGGGGGTTGGAGGGGTGCAGTCCTGTTCTGACACCGCCCTAGCCCGCTGCCCCCGGCCCGTGGAGCGCTGCGACCGCGCCTCCGCCGCCCTCCGGACCTCCCCCGCCGCTGCCATTCTTCTCAGTCATCGTGTGCGCTCGCACTCCTAAATCTCCTTCACCCCTCCCCTCTTATTTACAGACGCCGCTCGCTCCCGCCCCTCGCCCTTCCCTCGCTCGGCAGCCGTTCTTCCCCCGCCCCCCGGCACCCAGCGGCGAGGGGCGGGGCGCTCGCTCTGGGGGGCTGCAGTACCGCTCTCTGTCCACAAGGCGGCAGCACTGCCGCCGGCCACAGCTGGGGCTGCAGTACCGCTCTCTGTCCACAAGGCGGCAGCACTGCCGCCGGCCACAGCTGGGGCTGCCGCTCGCCTCGAGGGGAGGGAGGCAAAAGGAACCGGCGCGATCCCCTTCGAAAAACCCTCAAAGATAAATGCCCCAAAAAAACCAGCACAAAAACCAAAAAAACCCCTGCCTCTAACCAAATAAAAGCCCCCAAACCCCCCTTTCTTTAAAACTATATTTAACTATTTTTATATTTATATTTTTCATATTTACATTTATAATGTATATTGATGTATAATGTTATTTCTATTCTATATTACATCTCTTCCTATTACTTATATTTATTTTTATTCCATACTTTTATATATATACATATCTTCATATATTTATTATATATTTATTATACGTTTTTATATTTAGGTTTATAATCATAAAACACTTGTGTTCTTTAAAATAAAAATCTTGCCTCTAAACAATTTCTGTCTCTATAAAATTAATAATAATTATATATTGTTTAAAATAAAAGCCCTGCCTCTAACCAAATAAGAATAAAAACCCACTTTCTTTAAAACTACAATTAAATATTTTTATATTTACATTTTTCATAATTATATTCACATTTACATTTGTATTTTATATTCACGTATTTTATTTATAGATACATATATATCACAATGTAATATTAACGATAGAGTATTATTTATATTATATTTTTTCAATTTCTAAGAGACATAATTCTTTCTATTCTATATTTTTATATATATTTTATGTATTTATGATACAGTTCTATATTTATATTTTTAATCATTATTTCTAATTTTATTATTTATAGGAAAAGCCCTGCCTATAACTACATCAAAACCATCCACACCGATTTTTAAATAATATTTAAATATTTTTACATCTACATAGGTATCTTTAGATATATATTTGTACATTTGGATTTATATTTTTATATTATTTATATTATTTAAAAAACACTGCAAGGACGACAGAAGGCAAAATGAAATGACTGAGGTGAGACCGATGGTGAGCTGATGAGGCTCAGAGAACCCTGGAGGAAGAAGATGCTAACTGAATGATTTCTTCTAAGAACTGCAAAGACGGATGCCTGTGAATCCTACGGTCAGGATCCTCTACCTATCCTCGCATTCTTCCTAAAAAACAAAAACAAAGAACAGTGCTGTAACAGTCACCACTTACACTTCCCCTGCAGAGACAAACTGTGACTGACCTGCTTGGAGGAACCCCCTCACCTGGTATGGGCTGCTCTGCCATGGATTTTATCTGCCTGCATCTGAAAGAAAGTCAGGACAAATGTCAAAGGGCTACAGGATAACTTCACAGCACCAGGCATCTTGTGTCCGTCTACAAATCCCATCTTAAAAACTTTAACACGAAACCCTAACCCTGTTGACCAGTGCGAGTGGCCGCAAACAGAGGCCATTTTCCATGGGAAAAAGAAGTCATTTTCCCAGGGTCTGGGTATTAGCTCAGAGGTGGCATTTGGGGCTTTAAGGGCATGCAGGGTCCTACTTGCTTCATTCCCCCAATTTCAAACACAGACAGTAATGGAAGAGGAGTTGCTTCCCTCCATTTAAACTCCTTTTGTCCTCATAATTCCCATTTTTTTCTAGGAGCACTTTGGAGAGACTGGCGAGAGGAAAGCAAAAGTGAAAAGGAGAAAGATTCCCCCCTGCAACTACATGCACTGGCTCATCTGCTAAGCTGCTGCTGCCTGGCAAGAAGGTTTGTCCCTCAGCACCTCCTTTAACTAATGCTCCACATATCCAAGTTCACATCCAGGTGCTCCCCCAGATCCTGAGAAGCTCTCACCGTCACGTAGCCAGATGTACTATCACTTTCAGAGCCAGCAGCTGTACTAGATTTCTGGTTTGTGTCTGTTAGAAGTGGGATTTGTGCTGGAGAGGTACTGTTGGGAACAAAGGATGGAGTAAATCCACTCCTGGGATGTGCAGTGAAGGACTGAGTTGCAGGGGAGGGGTGCATTTATAAACTGTATCTATATATCCCTGAAATTGACAGGTTTTGGTATTCTACACTCACTCCTCCCTGTGAATCTTCTGGCAGCTTTGGGTCCTTCTGGGGGAGGGCACCCAGCATGACCTCCCCCCCATCATTCCCCACTCACCTGCTCCTCCACTGCATCATGGCTCTCCCAGGGACGCTGGGGTGCCCCAAATGAGATCTGAGCCCCGAGCCTACACCCCATGCCCCAGCCTTTTTTCCTCACCCCCAAAGAAGGCACAAAATGAGCCCCTGGACAGCAGCGTGTTGCTTTATTAAAGCCATTTCCACATGCACGCACCCCCAAAAAGGGGCTCTGCTGCAACAAGAAAGGGCGGTAGCCCCCAGAAGGCCTGAAGGCCCTAGCTCCGTTGTCATGGACCGCTGGCCACCCCACAGCACGGGGACAGCGTGGCCTGAACGCTGCCGCAGCTCCTGCTCATGCTCCGCTCCGTTGCCGGCGGTAGTAGTTGGCTCATCCCTTCCCTACGACACTGCTGCTGCCGCCTCCCGGGACGCTGCATGTTCAGGTTCCTTATGTGGTCCCAAACCTGATCTTCATTTTCAATGGCTATTTTGTATAGCCAGTCTCTGTTTTGAGGGGCAGGGGCTTGAGAGAAGTAGGAAGAGAGATTACAATGGAAAACTGAGATGAAAAAATTGCTGAGTATCTCAGCCTTCTCCATCACAGTTGCCACTAGTTTTCCTGTCTTCCTTATCAGGACAGCATGAGGAGTGTGATGCTTGCATTTTCTTTCCTTTTCTGTTCAACGTACTTTGTCTTGGCTTTCCTGACCTCATCTCTGCTCCAGGCAGCATCCCTACAATGAAAGAAAAGCATACACTGAAGACAAGTGTAGTGAGGTTACAAGTAATTTGGAATTCAGCCATCCACGGGTTCTAGATTTACTGCCCATTTAAGTGCACATATTGCAGAATTTGGCATATTTCACATGCACAGAGGCATGTTGCAATAATGACATGCATATTCAAGAAAGGTCCAATACAGCTGCCCTGACCTATAAAAACTGGCATTCAGCATCAGCACAGTTATAGTGCTAACATTCATAGTATGAAGTAATGCCAAAGCCAGATGACAACGTAAGACATAAATCTGAAATTTGATATTAAAGCGACATCTTCCAGTTGTAAACTGAAGTATAGTATTCTTGCTAATAAGGGATTATACAGACCTGCAGCTGCACAGAGTCTTCTATAGTGCACAAAGAAATTAGGTAAGTAGGAAGTACCAGATTTGGAATGCAGAAGTAGAGATTTGCATTTAAAACTTTAAAATCTTCAAACAAATACACACGTTGTACCTGGCATCTAATGTATTCTTACCTTTACTGGCTAATACGTCTTTTGTGTGGACAGGCTTCTTTACCTTCTCTACTTGGCAGCTGACAGATGCTGTACGAGGAAGCAAAGAAAACAAGAAAATCAAAATTAAACTAACAAGACCTGTCTTACGGCTTTTGAAAGGTACATTTCCAAATGCATGTAGTTCCATCATCAGTCATATTCTGGAGAGGCTAATAACAAATGCCACATATTAAACAGTCACAAAATTGTAAACGTAAGCCTGGTAACTGTATAAAGACAACATGAAGTTAGAAGCTCTGTGTTACACATTTCCCACACTCTTCATTTTGTTTGAAAGCTGGAAGATTTTGGAATGCCACTTATAACATGAGCTGTATCAACTGACTTTCTGGTATTACCTCCCAAGCACTGCATCAGCTTAAGAGGTATGAATGAATGAGCCATGTGTGAAGGATTACCTGTATAATGCATCTCACTCATACACATGCAGACAGACCGCTGAAAGGTTAAAAAGGATGGTGCTCTGAAACTCTCGGGCTCCCCAGTCCTCCTTCCTTAACCCCTTCCTCAGAGTCTGGATGAGATCAAGCGATTGTGGTGTTGTGTCGATCGTGACCATTCATCCTCCAGAGGCAGCTGCTGGAGTGCAAGGACCAAGGCAGTAACCACAGTCTCCTACTGAACCACATTCAGCCTTTCAGCACGCACTTACACGCTGCAAATCCACTTTTGCCGGCTCAGGACCTGAATCAGGGGAAGGCACATAACAATCAGCATTCATTCAAAGGCGTAGTCCTTCTAGCTATGCTAATTATTAATTCAGCTGGTACTATTACTACTAGAGGTCTATAATTTTACAACAGAACAATTATAGAGCAATTTGCCACACTTGCTAAAAACATTAATATGTGGCAGAGAATATAAGTGAAAAAAATCCAGCAATGCACAGCTCTGCTCTAACACCTGATGTCAGGGCCAAAGTAAGTGACCAGGTCAAACTACAGCTCCCTCCTTTGATTTTCAGAGAGGGAATTTTGGGGGGCTTGCTGTGAGCTGGAGGGAAAGTCAGCCTAAATATCCAACTTCTCAAACTGATGGTGCAGGGATTGTCCTTCTCAGCCAATTCACAACTAAGTCCACAAGTTTTCACCCGTGGAGGTGAAAAACTGAAAAATGTGGAGCTGTCATTCATATGTTCCACTGCCCTCATCCCACTCACATGATATTGGACTCATACCTTCCATTTCTAGGATATGTTCTAAGGCATGTTTCTTTTTCCCTGGCTTCAAACCCATCACTCGGCCTCAGTACCAGCACATATATGTTTAGTCTCATTTACCCCATCTTGGTTTCTTGCTTCTTTTACAGCTCCTTCCACTGGAGGCTAAACTTCTTTTTTCTTATCTTATAATGTCCTTCCCATTGCCATTGATCACCTTCAGGATGCTTAGGGAGGCATGGGCAGTCCAAAAAAAAACATGCCACGGATGTAAACTAGTGCATGAGTTATTGCTACTATTCATATTTTAAATGGCAAAGGAGGTTGTAGTTATTGCTACATCATATTACTATTCATAAAGCTGCTAACATCAGTGGTTATTTTTCAGACTGTTACTCAGGGTATTTCGCTGCCATTTTCTTGAACTTAATTTTACTGGTCTGCTTCGTTTTTTATTTCTCCCGAGTGCTGTGAGTGGCAAAATATAAGCAGCCTGTGTTTAATTCCCTGCTTACTCCTGAAGGCTTGAATTACTTCACTTATCAAATCTCCCACTTTTCTATCTCCTGGTCTATCATTACGCTAGCCAGTGATCCATACCTACAGTGAATTTCCTTTGATAGATATTTTTTTTACTTACAGCTGCTTTATTTCTTTAAGTGGGGAGTATTAAACCCATTCCAAAACGATGCACGCGATGATAAACAGAGACTTTTTTTCTTTTTAAATTTAGAGCAGTTTATATAAACTATTTGTACTCTTTAACAAGGTCCCCAAGCTCTCTAACGCGAGAGATGGAAGCTTGGTTGTACTAGCTGGCTAGTAGAATTTAAGGGTTTATTTCAAAATTAATTTATAAATAACTTTAGATTGTCAATATATATAAAAAACTTGATGGGTTTGGTATTTGGCAGAAAACACCTCATGGCAGCACAGAGCTCCGACTCCCCGCTCGGACACCGTTCAGTAAACCGCAGCCCGCGGCACTGCACGCGCCACCCGCGGCCCGGGCCTGCCCCTCGCCCGCGAGGAGCCGCCGCCGCGGCGGCAGCGAGCGAGCAGAGCCGGCAGCGCCGGCCGGACCACGCGCGCCGCCCGCCTGCTGCAGCCCCACGGCTCCGCAGCGAGCGCAGGCACGGCCGCGAGGCGGGCGAGCGGCCGGGGCAGAGCCACGGCGGGGGACGGGGAGCCGAGCGGCCCCCGCCCGGTGCAGTGGCAGGCCCGTCCTCGCCCACTCCTCTGCCCCGAAGGGAACGCGGGCACGGCGGGCAGAAAACACCCCGAGGCCCGCGGCCACCCGCGGGGATGCGCTTACTTGATCGGGGCTGAGGGAAGAGCGGCAGCGCGGGGCGGAAGCGGACGCGGCTCGGACGGAAGCGCCGCAGCGCATGGCGGGCGGGGGCGCTCGCTGCCCGGCCGCCCTCACGGCTGGGCCGCGCGCGGGTCCGGCCGGCCCGGGGCGCGCGGCGGGGGGCGGGTGCCCGGCGCGGCGGCTTCGCTCTCCGGGGAGGCGCCCGCCGCTCGGCAAGGCGCAGGTTTGGGGTGGCCAAAAAGCGTGACCGCTGGACATGGGCGCACAAAAGAGTGCTCGGTTGTCTGTTCCCGGGCTCCCTCACCGCTGCTCCCGATCCCTAGCTAGGAGGAATGGGTATTTCCTCAACACAACTATGCTTTTGTAACAATTCAGTGATTTCATTGCACTTTTCTGTCAGATTCTGACCAACTTCCATTTAACCTGACAGCCAAAGACGACATCGACCTTTGAACACGAGTCGATGGAGTGGTGTGGTCTGCACTGCTGTGGCAGAAAATGTTTCTTTTTCTGCTGAAGTGTGCCCAGAAAACGTTTTAGCATATAGATGAAATAGCATGTTGTTAATATTGTATTTAGTACCTTTCTTAAAACATCTTGCAGCACTGGTCTTGCGCTGGTTTGTATTCACTCCAACTTCTCCCACAGCAAAAGCTGGGACTAGGCGCAGAGAATCTTTAAGTTTGTACCAAATACTAGTCTTACCAAAGAAGTGTTACAAATGTTGTCAGAAAGTAGCTAACTGTTCTCATAATGGTGTGCCCTCGCTCTACTATACTGTTTGCTTTAGGGCACAAATTGAAACAAAGTCAAGAATACTCACAAGAAGGTAAATAATCTTTGTGGCATAATACACGTTCAGTTTAATTTGCATTCTGTATCACCCAAGTTTCTTCATAGAGTATAATTCCAAATTCCTGTATCGCCATGCAGGTGCTCGTCGTTCTTTGACCCATTGAGAACTGATGCCACTGCAGTTGCCAGTTGGTGACTTACATGCTCAACACTGGTATTTCCAGCTGTAAAATTTAGTTTTTTAATACGACATCAGTTATTTTGGCTTTTAAACACCACAACATTTTTATCACAGAATTCACTAAATAATTTTGAAGTAAGTAATCTACAGTAAACTGAATTCTACTTCTGATTATAGAGTGCTAATCTGCAATAATTAAAAGAACTACTGCAATAATGAAAGAACTACCAAACAGGCAGAAATACTGTGCAAATAGTAGTTTAAATGTGCAGATAACATGTTCTACAAATTTTTTATATGAGTTTTTCCCTAGAAAAGTTTCTCAAAGCAAAAAGAAAAAAGTAAGTGTGTCACTAATTTTAAGCTAAGTTAATTAGCTCAAAGGTTCTTTGTTTTGTTGAAGTGCCAATTCTGAACATACAATCTGTAAAAGAAAAAAGATATATGTATTTATGTATATACATGTATTCCTGGACATTAAATTCTCCTTTGAGAAATAGTTCATGTAATAAAGGGCATGATGGTCTGGCAGGAATGAGGGAAAACAAACAAACAAACAGAAAACCAAATTACAAACCTCTCCAAAGAAAAAAAAAACAAAAAACAACTTGTCTGGAATTAATCCAGATTAGCCGTGCCCCTTCACAGCCAGCACCAGTCTTTCCTACTAAAAACTGCATGTGGTATGGTACTTACCTAACAGAAATCAAAGAGAGGGAAGAAAGAAACAGGCAACTTCAAAAAGGGAAATAAAACAATCCAAAAAGATACTGAGAAAACTTCAAGTGTTATGAAAGGAATCAAGCCTTGGGGTTAAAATACAGAAGTGGAGTTACTTAACAGACACCTTTGTTCTATTAATGAGGTAATATCGGTTTCCTTTTAAATTGGAAGGACTGGAAACAAACTTCAGTTACAACAGCGGTCAAAATTTTTCTATAAAGCTAGAATTTCAAGTCATCAACAGATTTTTTGAGGACAAAGTAAGTCCTTGTGCACAGGAATCAAAACCTAAGTACTTATTAAAAACTTTGTCTACTGAATTTTACCACCATATATGCCAGATTTTTTAACTGTTCCTGTAAAACAGCATTGAAGAATGATACCAAAAAAACTCACCAGAATTTCCTTTGTAAGCAATACCATGTTGACCTAATAAAACTCTAAGTTTTTTTATTTCTTCAGAAAGTTGCTTGTATTCCTAAGAAAGAAAATATATTAAAAATTGCCCTCCCACTTTTCAAATACATACCTAGATTGGGAGCTTTTAAGAAAAAAATGCGTTTGTGCACAGCTGTTACACTTCTTGGCTTTGAAGAACTTAAAGTGCTTGTTCCAAGAACATAGAGCAAATTTTAGAAAAAGATACATGTCTGTGTTGCTAAAAGAGGAGCCAGCTTTTTTCAAGCCCAAGAGTAAAAATTAGAAATGCTTTCTGTAATTATTTCATACTTGTCCTGTAATTAGCATTTTATCATAGAAGAAATCCTAAGTTTGCTTCAGGACTGCCCTTATTTTGTAATTATCGTAATTCTAAGGTCTGGAAATTTGTCAACTCCTCAACTCTTGGCCTAGTAACTTCATGTTCTTGCTCTCAGCATTTTCTGTTCCTGACCTTACAGACAGGGATTGCTTAATTCTTTTGAGACTCAAAGCACGTACCTGAAATCTCAGAGAAGCCCCTATTTTTTGCTGTGTTTTGGTGTTTACATGAATAAAGATAAAGCAAAAGAATAAGTATTTAAGATTCTGTGTTTACCAAACCAGCCAATTTATGTCAATTAAGCTATGATGAAGCCAGAAAAAGAAATAGAAATTATTAAATACTGTATTGTTAATGAGTGAAAAAAATAATCACGTGACTGTTCCAGCTCCTATGAGATCAAAATGGTGGTCTCTATATTAAAGTCTATTCAGCTTAACTGTGGTTTTATTTGGTTATATTAATGAATTACTACACGGTGTTTTGTCTTTGCTACATTTTTCAAATAAAAAGACAACACCAACTGCTTCTCTGCATTGCAATGAATGAATTCCCATCCGTGCTCTTTTTCTTGTGGTCAGGTTGCGCTCTTCTAGGCTGAGCACACCTTCTGCCTCTATTTTCCCCATTCCAACTCTGTTGCAGGAGAACTGTTCACATACACAAGAGTCATTCAGAAATAAATACAGCCCTTCTGCCTTTTGCTTGTGCAACAGCCAATGCATTCTTACACAAGTTTGGGTAATTACCCACAGAGATAATTATCCACAGAGATAATTAAAAGTGTCAACATTCTCGAGGTTGGTTACACATTTATCTTTGCAAGTAATTCCTTCCTGTCTCCAGACTGATATTCCCCAGAAAGAGTACCTACAAAGTGTTCATAACCCAAGCGCATACACCAATTCCTTCACAACCCCTATCTTCTTACTGGGCATTCATTTTTGCTGGTTTGTTTTTGACTTAGGGGCTATAATAAAGATACCGAATCACACTACATGCAGGCTGTCACATATTGAAACCAGAAAGGATAACCCCATGAAGAGATTCAGCTGAACACCAAGGGAATTTACATAATGCTCTCCCACTAGATACTGTCATATAGTGAAAAGGTGGCAATTCCACATTGTAAATATTATGCTCTATACCTTACTGCACTTTTCCACTGTTTCAAATTCCGGAGTTATTTTCTTACTCTGTTTTTCAACTTCATTTTCTTCTGTTGCTTTTAGAAGTCCTGCTTCCTCAAAAATCTCTTTCAGAATTTTTTTGTAACCCTAGAAAAGAAAGTTTACAAAAGGTGATAGATCAATCTGTTAAACTCTCGTCTCTGCTTGTAATTTGCACTGGCCATTCCAAGTCCTTAAGCTTCATTACCAGTTCATATAGCAGTTACAGAACACAAAAATTACTATTTGCCAACTGCAGAATAAATGCATCTGCTCCGAAAGGAGAAACTACAGAAGCCAGGTTTGGCTATTTGACAGTAACTTTTTTTTTTACCAAATAGAGTTGGAAGAATTAATAAACCTGGTCGGTTATTAGTTCGTCGTACAGAAGCTGCTCTGCTTCATCCCACTTCCTCTGTAGTGCTTCAGTCAGAGTTGGATAAACTGAAAAATGGAAGTCAAACCATGTAAAAACCAGGAGTGCTGTCCTGCATTAGTTAATTCATCCTCTAGTATCATGCAAGAATATTTGTTTTAAGAACTCACTGTTTCTTTACAGTACACAGCCTCCACTGCTTTCAAGAGCTGGGCTTAGGCTTAAATTGCACTTTGCACATTTAAAGTTTCTGGAGAATGACCAGAAATTTTTCTTATTTCAAGATCCAAGGCCTCATATTCCTTTGCTCAATGTAATTCTAATGGAGCTTTTTTGCAATGTAAGTAAATGGGCAGATACTACAGGGCTTATTCCTACAGACCAAGAAAAGAAAAAAAAAAAAATCATTCACTGGGTCTAAACTAGCAATGACAAAAAAAAAAATTTACAAATTTATAATCTCAAATAAAAAAAATATTTGAGAAATACCTGTGTTATAATGACTTCATATAATATGTTAACACTTATTACTAATTCATATTAAGGTACTAACTCAACCTAAAAACAGACACTCTGAGGATAGTGTATATGCTAGCTGTTCCACAAAGTATTTTTTAAATCTTACCTAAAAGTGAGTGGGGATGGCACACGAGAGGAGTCTCAAATGTCAAAGAGTAAACACAAGTACTTGGCTCAGACACATAAGCCAATTTATTGCTCTTCCCACAAACAAGATGAACCTAAACATCAGTAAAAACAAAGATGAGCAAAAAATGTCTACATGAAACGATACCATCACTGATGATCTATCTGCTGTGTTCCAATGCCAGTAGATGCATTTCTGCACACACTGTCATGTCAAAGCTTCCAGCGCCTTTTTTTATTTCTTTCGGACAGAAAAAGCATCACAGCAGCACATCATCCCTTTATTTTATCAAATGTGAAAATTGTTTTCTCTAATGGGAAATTATTCTCCCCACCAACCATTGTTTCTTGAACTACTAAGTACCATATTTCCAGCAAGAATGAGAGTAAAAAGGACAGCGAATAGGATGCCTTTAGAATCTCATCTAACATAAGCATAATCTTCTTAAATTTTATTTCTGACCAATGTGCTAATTTAAGAATACAAGACACATCCAGACTGCAGAGAATTGTTTTCATCTTTAGATTTGCAGCACAAATATTTTGTGTCTTCAAAATGAAATGCCAGTGAAAAATTAAATCACAATATCAAAGGTCATACAATATGAATTCTTTCTGCAGCTTCCATGAGAAATAAAGATGTTAAGCAGGCACCTCCATTAGAGTGTAACATTTTCACCGTGGCCAGGATATGGCAGCCAAGTTGGCAGCTAACTGCAAGAGATTCAACAAGGTGAAGTGCTGGGTAATGCACTTCGACCATAACAACCCCGTGCGCTTCTCCAGGCTCGGGC